CCTCAAATTCCTAACAACACAATTGTTCTCTCAATGGAATCCCTTTGGTATTAAGTGTTGGCCTTATTTGTATGAATATTTGTGGACCTCTCTGTTCATTTAGAATTTGCCTTCTTAAGACTTTAAATAAAGTTGTGCAATAGTGCCTGAGGGACTTATTTCCTAACCCAAGGAGCATGGCAAACCAACTGGATTATGAAAGAGCAATGGAGCATCCAAAACTGTCCTGGTGGTTAGAGGAAGTATCCTCTGCCTGCTGCATACCAGGATGGCAGCCAATGAACAACATCAACTCTGGATTCTGAAGAAAACTTTTATTTCTTTAAAAACAACCATTGCTGCCCTAGCCAGTTTGGCTCAATGGATAGAGCATTAGCCCATGGACTGCAGAGTCCTGAGTTCAACTCCGGTCAAGGGCACATACCTCAGTCGCAGGCTCAATCCCTGGGCCTGGTCAGGGCACATGCACGAGGCAACCAATTGATGTGTCTCTCTCACATCGATGTTTCTCTCTCTCTGTCTCTCCTCCTTCCTTCCACTCTCTCCAAAAATCAATGAAAAAATATCCTCAGGTGAGGATTAACAACAAAACAACAACCATTGCTATGTGACATAAGCTTAAATTCAATTGAATTTGGGTCTTGCTGGCAATAGTGTAATTCCTGGATGAAATAAGGTTTGGAGAAATTTGAAAAAAAATCTACTATGCCCTAACTGGTTTGGCTCAGTGGATAGAGCGTCGGCCTGTGGACTGCAAGGTCCCAGGTTTGATTCCGGTCAAGGGCATGTATCTTGGTTTCGGGCACATCCCCAGTAGGAGGTGTGCGGGAGGCAGCTGATCAATGTTTCTCTCTCATCGATGTTTCTAACTCTCTATCCCTCTCCCTTTCTCTCTGTAAAAAATCAATAAAATATATTTTTAAAAAATCTACTATGTTATGTAACCTTGGACAAATCACTTACCCATACCAAATTGTTGCTATTTTATAAATAATAATAATGGCTACATTAGATTATTAATACAATAATTCCCCCAAAGTATTGCAAATAAATATAAGAAACATAGCTACTGATCATTCTCCATTCAGTCAAAAGATTTTGTTACTTTTAGTAAGGTGGTTAATTGGGGGTCAGTAGGTTACTCACTCTAATAAGGGAACTGAACTCAACAATCTATACTATCCTAGCAGGCTTCAGCACTCTACCATTCTAGACCTTATTTCTAGACTCCTTTTTTCTTCTTTGGGTTGCTCCTTAATTCTGGGCATTTTATGGCTTCTCCCTGGAAAGGTTGGCAGAGGAAAATAACAACAATTCTGAAAAATAGATCAAATATAAAGGGAAATGAACCAGAGGTGGCTCATTATGTTCAGTAGAATGTCATGTATTGATCAAATGGCTCTATACTTGGGAAGCAAGATGAAATGGCAGCTAGAATATAGATTGTGAAGTTGAGAGTAAGAAATTCATGTCTTGAGACTATCCTGCACTGGCCACTTGACCCCTAACAAATGATACAACTTCAGAGAATGCATCTAGGAACTAAGGATGGTAAACTACATACTTCCTAAGACTTGTGAGAATGAGATAATATTACTCATATTGTTGGCAATCTACTCACCTATTACTATGGAGATATAGATATCTCTATATAACAACAAAAACAGAATTCCCTACATTTGAAGTTCCATTAATTTTAAGCAATATTTGATGCAAATCTAGTACAATAGAACATCCCGGGAATAACTGTAATAGGTCTCAGCCTGTTTCCAGGTCATTTCAGTAGGAAAATTGAGACTTCATTATCTATTTGTAAATGCGCTATTTAGTCCATAGTTCTATCTGAGTCCCTCACTACTTTCATTTTGTCCTCTTCCGGTGTCTTTACCCGTCTGTGGCTGGAGTCTTTGCTCTCTTCCCGATTTACAGTTCAGTTTCATCAGCACTCCTGTTTCCTGTTTTGTCCCTGTCTAGGCTGCTTGTTTTGCCCTCTATCTCCTTCCCCTTCCTCTTCAGTGGATGTCATCAACATTTCCAGGAGGGATGAGCAATACCACCAGCTTCTCTTACTGTATAGCGTTTCCTCTTCTTTCTTTTTCTTTTTTAAGCTTTCTTTGAACCTTCCTAAGCTTCCTGTAATGACTATGTCTCTGTTTCAGCTATTTCAGTATTTTTGTGGCTTTTGATTTTGATCTGGATTCAGGTCCTCTACCCGAAACCATCTCAAGCAAGTAGTTTGAGGTTTTTGCTGGAAGGTAATTTGAATTTGTTTACATGGCCACCATCTCCCAATTTAGATGTCATGAGATTTCTGGAGTGGAGGAGTGACCTTCCCAGATTACTTTCCTCTTATTATCACTGAGCTATATTATTAGTGGGGATGGGCTATTTTGTTTATGAATCAAGCTTGCTTCCTATAATTCTAAATAATTACTGCTAAATCAGTAGAATTAGGAAAGTCTTTCATTTCAGAAGGGTTGATGGAAAGTTAACTAAAGTCAACCATAGCCATGGCTATACCTATAGAATCTGATATACCTACATCTATAGAACAATCACATGCACACGCACACACATACACAAAAACATGATTATTTAGCTGTAATATTCTGGCATCTTCTCTGCAAAGAGGCCACAAATACAAACTGAATCTGAACAAAATAACTCAGTTACTGTGGCAAATGACAGATGACCTTTTCTAATGCATGTCTTTTTCTTTCATTTTTCATCACCATTGTTTAGGTGAAGAGCAAGAAAGCCCAAAATATTTCTCAGTCTGCTCTCAGATGATTGGACCCTGAGGTGTGCAAATTCATTCATTCATTCACTGAATACCTACTATGCCAGTGATGGCGAACCTTTTGAGCTCGGCGTGTCAGCATTTTGAAAAACCCTAACTTAACTCTGGTGCCGTATCACATATAGAAATTTTTTGATATTTGCAACCATAGTAAAACAAAGACATATTTTTGATATTTATTTTATATATTTAAATGCCATTTAACAAAGAAAAATCAACCAAAAAAATGAGTTTGCGTGTTACCTCTGACACGCGTGTCATAGGTTCGCCATCACTGTACTATGCTCACAACATAGCTGTGTACAAAATAGACCAGACCCCTGCCATCAGAATCTTCTGTCAGGATCAGACATCTGACTCATTTGACAAAAACCCAATGTGGTTTAAGATTTCACGAGGAGCACGTTAAGGCAAGAGCAGGGACAGAGTTTGTCACATGCCCCACCACGTGGTTTTCTAACAGGCCAAGTGCAATACAGACTAGGGTATTGCTCACACTTCCTTCCTGTTTCTGTCACTCAGAACTCACAGCAATATTTCAGGAGCTAGGTATTTCATTTCCTACCAAGCTAAGACTTTTACTGTGTTTCTTGTTATTCTCATCAAGTGAGAAGGCCATTCCCTTACATAACAATATTTCTGCCTTGCACCTTGGCAAGCCCGAGGAGAAATCATCTTGCCTTAATTTTCTCTAGGAGGCAAGATAGTTCCTCAGAGGAACTTTCTTTTGCTTTGTAATATCACTGTTTAGACTGAGAAATTTACTTAGAGAATGCCACCTATAAAAAGCCACTAAGCTCTTAATTGAATTCCTACTTTAGTCTTTTATCCTTTTGATTTGAAAAAAAGTATGCCAAGTATTTGTTATTCATATTTTTTGTTTATTTGAGTGTGCTTACGTTTTTGTAGTGAACCTACAGATATAAAGCTCTTTCCAAGTCTCTTTAATATTATCCGCTTTGTGTGGAGTAAGGATGTAGCAGTGAGTATTTTGTTTATAAGTAGTTGTATTTCTAAAAGTCCACTATTTTCTAAGATCTCTTACAGTTCTCATTTTCAACTAAGAGAAATTGGAAAATAAAGATTGTGGGAGTATAAAATGAATGCTTGCAATATTTGTCATTTTTTTAAAACTCTATTTTTGTGGCTCTTGTATTTTTTCTAAGATGACTTCACCTAAAAGCCAAGGCCAAGCCAGAGCCCTTGTTGTAAACAAGTGATAAGGGACATGATAGCCCATAAGGAATACAATCTGGGTTATCAGTGGCCTATTGTGTGGATAAAAAGTAAAAAGCCAATTTTGAATACAAAGAAAATGAATAAAGCCTCTTACCACTAAGAGAATTAAAAGACTATTGGAAGACAGAATCATTCTATGCAGCTAGACCAGCGGTTCTCAACCTGTGGGTTGAGACCCCTTTGGGGGGGCGAACGACCCTTTCACAGGGGTCGCCTAAGACCATAGGAAAACACATATATAATTACATATTGTTTTTGTGATTAATCACTATGCTTTAATTATGTTCAATTTGTAACAATGAAAATACATCCTGCATATCAGATATTTACATTACGATTCATAACAGTAGCAAAATTACAGTTATGAAGTAGCAACGAAAATAATTTTATGGTTGGGGGTCACCACAACATGAGGAACTGTATTAAAGGGTCGCAGCATTAGGAAGGTTGAGAACCACTGAGCTAGACCTATACCCTCCCCCAGACTGGTAAGCACTCAATATGGTTAGGAAACCTATCTCCTACCCAAATGACTCATATTCAATTCTCCTTTTGAGCAAGAGTTGGGAGGAGGTGGAGAATAGCAATTAAGAGACTGCTTGGGTTCAAATCCTGACTTCACCTCTTATTTTCTATGTGTTTTCTTAATAACCTGAACACTGATTAACAGTACTTGACTCACAGGGTTGTTATGAAGTTTAAATGAGATAATCCATGTGGAGCACACTGCTTATGGGGCACATAGTAATGAATGTGAGATGATGGTGGGTGTCCAGGGAGACACCAGGCTGAATGCACCTGGGATGCCTTTGTCGGTTATTGAAAGTCAGGAATCAGAAGTGAGTGTGAACCAGACAACAAGCCTCAGAAGATAGAGAACTGACTGGGTAAGCTGGCAAGGGTTACAATGTGGAATCTACGTAATCATCAAAATAAACTGATGAGAGTGGCACAGGATCGAAGTCGGTCACTTGTCGGGAGCTGGAGGTATTTTTCTGGCTTTGGTAACCTTGCCGCGATGTGGTTCGAGATTCTCCCCGGGCTCGCTGCCATGGGCGTGTGCTTGCTCATCCCCGGAATTGCCACTGCGCACATTCACAGGTTCAGCAACGGGGGCAAGGAAAAAAGGGTTGCCTGTTATTCATATCAGTGGTCTTTGATGGAGAGAGATAGGCGCATCTCTGGAGTTAATCGTTACTATGTGTCAAAGGGTTTGGAGAATATTGATTAAGGAAGCACTTCCTGGTTAATGGAAAAGAACTCAGTTTTGCTCATCTACCCCTGCTAGAAGTTTATGCAGTATATTATGTAATGCATAATAAAAGTTAAAAAATAAAATAAAAAACAAAAAAAACTGATGAATGAAGTGGATCCAGAGACATGGAAGCATGGAACAGAGAGAGGAAACTCAGAGGGAAGATGGGGAGGGGTTTTTGGGGAAAAAGGGGGACATATGTAATACTTTCAACAATAAAGAATTGTTTTTTTAAAGGAAGGATATAGGGCAGTGCCTGTAAAACCAAGAGTTGTGAGGGCCCCCTTTTGTCTCCAGTGAAACAAAGAGTGCATCACCTGGTCTGCATCCAACGACACAGGGCCTGGACCTCAGTAGGGAAGACGCTGAATACACCTAGCATGGTTAAGGTCAAATAGGGCAAAACTTTTTGGTTTTCTGTTTGTCTGTCTGGTTTGGAATATATCCGGGGAGGAATTGTATGGTTCTTCTAATTTCGTTCTTCTAATATCTGCTTCTGTATAATGGAAGGGAAAAGGGCAATCTAGTTATCCTCTAGAAAGCCATGCACATACATAACTGAACAAGGAGACGCTGTGTAAGATGATGAGAATGACAGCTCTCATCCTATCAAAGCATGAAGGTAATGAATTCCCTTCTAAACATGTTACAGCTACATAAGCTATAAAATATATTGCTATAAAATGAGCCATCTATTTGAAAATCCTGTTGCATATACTTTGTATAATTACAAAACTAGTAATTGAAAATGTACAGCTTCCAAGAATAAAGAAAAGGTTGGGAGTACCTAGTGTATGCAAGGTATTATTCAAAGATGACAGAATCATGCTATTCTGTTTACTTCATACATAGATTTGCATTGCCTAGTCAGTGTCTAGTGAATTTCTTTAATCTTCAGAAAAAAATAATTATCTAGAATCTCCTACTGGGAATATGGTAGCATAGAATCATAAATTCAGCATTTTAAAGCTGCTGAAGGACTCCTAGAAAAGAATGAAAATCAGTTCCTTAGGCTTTCTTCAAAATGCTAGTTAATATCCTAAGGGGCTTTTGACATTTTAAAAGATTATTTTAAAAACATAAAAGAAAATATTTAGTCAAATATATCAACTGGCTCATTGAATCCCCACCTATTATAAGAATTTATTCATATTAGCAATGTCAATTTTAACAAGTACAGAATAGAAACTCAAATAACCTAAGTGACAGATTCGAGGTGAATGGCACGAATCATTCATTAGAGGGAGATGACAATCTGTAGGGCATCCAAAGAAATCAGGCCTAGCATTTGACCTGGTTGATTATTTCTGTTCCCAGCTGAAAAATATATTCTGAATTCTATCCAGCTCATCTTGAGGTAGACAAATGTTAAAACAGAAAGAGGTGGTGATGTGCTTTTGTTCAGTATGGGCTCATGGGGAAAGTCCTTATAATATTTTCAGCTGGTTGCTATGGAGGCAGCCAGCAGCGAGCTCAGCTAATAAATTCGGGCTGACATCATTGTTAATAGACAACTGAGCATTACAATTGTGCAGAAGAAAAAAAGTAAGACAGGAGGACAACAGCAAAGTTCGCCAAACAGAAAAATCACAAGGTGCACACAGAAAGGTATGTTTCTCCAATGTCACAAGGTATTTACAAATACTGGTGAGCGAGATATGCCCCTTACTTTCCCATAGGCCCTACCACAGGCACATAGATATCCCAGGGAGAGCTATTTACCTGCACACTGTAGTCAGGGCACCAGAGGAAACTGGTTAAACTATTTGGGGATTTAGCTGAGCTTTGAAAAACTATGTTCCAGGCTCATTAGCTTTTTAGAGTTGCCGGGTCCACACCACAGGACTTGTAAAAATAATCAGAAGTTCAATTGGAAAGAGTCAAGGAACAAGCTGCCTTCATTCATTAAAACGGTCAGGGGAGGATCAATGAAAGTCATCCTTAGCTATTCTCTTCTATGCTCTGGACAGAAGTTTTCTTCCTGTTCAGAGCTTCCTGCTCAGTGTTTGTCTAAGCAGGGAGGAAAGCCATCGCTCAAACTCTGAAACAACAGATTGCAAGCTAAGGCTTTTCTACACTTTGTTTAATTTTCCTGAAGTGTCCTTTTTCCAGAAATGATTTATTGGAGACCTAGCATGCTTTTCTTCTTACTCAACACTCCCCTGGGGATGTAGTTAAAACACCATTCTTAGCTGTAATTCTCCTGGGTGGGGAAGTGGTCGGTGGTGGCAATGAAACCAAAGCCCAGATTTGAGCAACTGTGGGCTGTTGACTTTATGCTAGTCTTTCATAAAGGGAACCCTCAAAACACCATGGCCATTCAGCAAACAGTATGCATTTCATCTAAGCCTGGCTGGCTTCGTGCTTGCTTTTCTTCAGGCTAGAATGATCCTAACCAGCAATGTCTTTGTGTCGTGATGCAGAAAGTTGGCAAGTTGGCATGAGGATAATGCTGAGTATAACTTCTGAGTGTGTGTGGGGGAGGGGGGGCGGGAGGGGGGTATCAGGGAGAGAAATAAAGCTCTGCACAATGGCTAGTGGTTCTCTCTCATGATGTCTTTCCCAACAGACAATCATTGTGCATTGTCTCTGTGGGAGTGAATGCAACATATTATTTTTGAGTAAAAAATTAAGATTTCTTTTGGTGGCAAAGTATATGGAAAATAGAAGCTCTCTGTACTTGATTTTTTGTTTTTATTTAAATGCCTCCAGAGACATTCTTCTGTGAGAAGAAAAATGACATAATAGGTCTCTAAAGATGAAACTGTTTTGATGATAGAAATATTCAATATTAAATCCACTAGAACTATTAGGAAATGCTACCAACATTTAAAAAATTTCTTGTATGTCGTGAACTTTGTTGATTGTCTACTCAACAAAATATCTTCCCCTTCTTCCTAAAAGAATTTCAATTTTTCTTTCCTCTCATCTAGCCAAGTGCCTGAAGGAAGTTGATCTCAACTCCAAAGACAAGTCTGATTGGTCTGGTTAATGCCATCTCTTCATCAGTCAACCACTCAGGAATGGACTTACAATTCAATTCTGGCCAATAAGATGTAAGCAAATATTTGCTGGAGGGTTCTGGGAAATTATCCCTTGCTATCAGAAAACAACAGGAATCCAGTCTTTTTCCAGCCACATGAATCCTTGGATGAAGAAAATCAGGAAGCACATAGTCCCAGTTGCTCCTGCATTTGTCCCATGTCTGTAAGAGGTATAAAATTGAGGCCAATGAATTGAGCCAGCGACTCAATCAATACATTTCTTTGTTGTTTAAGCCATTCAAATCAAGCTTATGTTACTGGTAGCCAAAGACATTCTTTTAACATAGAGTGATTCTATCTTCCAAGCCTTGTCCTAAACATCTTTTAGTTTGGGCTCTCTCCTCTTCTTTTCCTCTGTCTCTTTCACATATGAACCCCAACCTTTGCTCTGACTCACATTATTTCACTCTGATACTCCCCTTCTTGTTCTCCTTGTCTCTCCTCTCTAGTCCTCTCCCTTTTGCCCTTCATCCTACAAGTAGTGCCCCTAGGTATATCTTAGTCACAGTCAGGGTCAAAGAGCAGGTCCACCATTAGGCATAATTCTGGATTAGGTGAGGTTTCGCTCCTATGTCCTCCTATACTTTGGCTATAAACACCCTTGGCCTCCCAGCAACGTCCTCCTCTGCTCCATCACATATAACAAAGCGTCTATGTGCTCTAAGACATCCACCCCAAAACTATGTTTTCATTGAAATGCCTTTTGGAGATAATTCCTTAACTCAGTGGCTTTCAAACCTATTTTCTTTTGCCTATAACCCACATTAAGTATCCATACTCAGTATATACACACATAAACAACTAAAACAAAAGTGTCATGAAACATACTTACCTTTACTACCTGTAATGCATTCTGACATTTTCTATTCTGTTCTACTTCATTTTTAAAAATTGTTTGTCTCTCTTCACTAAATTGATTTCATGGATGGCTTGTGGCTGCCAAAAACACTGCCTTAACCCACAGTAGAAACTCTGATGGGCTTAAGGAAGTCTTTGAGGGTAGTTAGGGTCTTCCTTAAACTTGAATAAAATGCCAGCCACAGCAACTGGAAAGGATTCTGTCTGTTTGAGTGTATGTACTGTGCTTTTTTTCTAAAAAAGCAAAGAGTGATTGAGAGTTAGTGTATGAATGCTGACAACTGATGTGGTCCTAGTAACTTTCAGACATCTTTCTGAAATGACAAATGTACTTGGCAAATACCATTGTAGTTGTTTCTGAAAGATAGAAATGTTTTCTTCAAAGGTTGTTGGTGTTCCAGGGTCATTTTATTGATTGCATTTTTATGTAACTTTTTAGAGCCTATTAAATACATCTGCCCAGTCATTCAATTGACAGCTTTGCTACTTCTCTGAGTGCTGGGAATTTCATAACGGCAGATTATCTATAGGCACCATTTTTATGCCTTTGGAGTGTGGCCAAAATGTGTTGGTCTTCCTGTTGATAACCAGTTGTTATCAGCTGAAGCCACTCTTGCAGTCTTACCATACAAAGGCCACACATCTAGCACCCCTAGAATGCTTGTGGAGCACCTGGTTTCTAAAAAAGCCCTGTATAAACTGTAGAGTACAATGTAAATAAAAAATATGATTATTGTTAATTTTTAAAAGAAAAATTCTTTGCCTATGAAGTCACTCATGAATTTTCTTATTTCTATCAATGGTATTGAGTCTTATGCATTTTCACCACAATTCTAATTAATACATACACACACAGACATGATTTTTATTTATTTTTCTACTTTTTAAAATTTTATTGATTTCTGAGAGGAAGGGATAGGGAGGGAGAGAGAGATAGAAACATCAATGATGAGAGAGAATCATTGATTGGCTGCCTCCTGAATGCCCCCTACTTGGGATGAGCCCTGACCGGGCATATGCCCTGACTGGGAATCTAATCAAACCACGATCTCCTGGTTCATAGGTTGACACTCAACCACTGAGCCATG